TTTCTATGGTTCCCAAATATGTGAGGACTCAAATGAGACTCCCTACTAAAGTTACTAACCCATGATTTCTGGGTGGTGTTTAATGCTGGGGAAGGGATTATTGAGTTTGCCACTTTAAAGTCATCATGCCTGGAAAAGAAGTGGTAAACTGGAAAAGAAGATGACTTTAAATAATCCACTTTAAACATCCCTAGAAGGGATTATTGTTTCCTGGAAAAGAAGATGACTCCACTGAGTTGTTCATCTCTGCCATCACCTCACTTCGAAGACAATTCTAGAGACAAGCACCAGTGCTCATATCACTAACTATGTCCCTGATTCTATAAGGGAGTACTTCTTGCTGGTTCTACTTAATATATGTTAGCATAAGTTTGTATGGCCATAGTCACAGGTACGGCATCCTCAGTTTTTAAGTATTTCAACAATGGTCGCGCCTCATGAAGTGAGAATCTCACTGCAATGTCACCGATTTTACCATATCCTAGGTATTTTGTCAAATTTTGCCATAGGGGGGTTTCCATAAATGGTGGTACCCTAAGCTCGCTGGATGGTTTATTTCATGGAAAATCCAAAACCATAAATGGATGATAACTGGAGGTACCCCCGATGACTTTGGAAACCTCCATATTTCACCAAACTAATGTATTTCACCATCTTTCACATCCCCACATGGCTTTTCCGATGACCCCCCGGATCAGGGAATCAAGCCCGGCGAGCTCAATGCACCTATGGAGCTTTTAATGGGACACATTTATCGAGAAATACTGTATGTTCCATTGCCATGTCAAAGATGACACCGGAAGGTATATCCAATTGAATTCCATTTTGTCCATTGAACTCCATTCCATTTCATCAAAAGTTCCGTTACATCCCTATAAATGCCTATAAGTTCGCCTCTAAATTCCTATTTCACTCCCTATTTGTTGGTCAAATCCCATTATAAATGCCTATAGATCCCGATAATTTCCTACAAATCCATCAATATATCCAACATTCTACTCCATATCCCCATGTTAGACCCATTTGACAATTGAGCAGTGTTCAAATTCTCTCTATCATTCCATTATACTGGTTGGATTGTTCTAGTCCACCCAAAAAATAAGAGGGCGGCACCCCGTGGGGAGTGAATTTTCATTAAACATGATGATAAAACACTGTAAATATCGATGTTTTATGCATTTGGAGGGTCTAAAACCCTAGTCAAACGCACTTTTTTCATCATGATCTTGACATGAGATATACAAAAACATTGACAGGCACCAAAAAAACAAACCACTAGATGCACCAAACATCGACAGGCACCAAAAAAAAAACACAAAAAATCCAGCAACTACTCAGAAGTGGACCCATAGTTCCTGGAAATTTTTGTTTTTTTTGGTGCCTGTGCAGGTTTGTGTATGTTTGGATCTTGGCTATATTTTAAACTGATGTTTCAAAGAAGCAAACATACAATTATCTTTGGCTATGCCACCACACAGGTTGCCTGATCTCAATAGTCAACAGCATGACACACTTCTTTGTATCTTTGGCTTTCTCTCTCTCTCTCTCTCTCTAACTATTGAAATGAGACTGCTGACAAGACTCTGCAAGATAACAATGATAAACAAGATATGTACCTACTTCTTGAGTTGTAACATTTCCACCATCCTTCTTATCCAGAGTGTTAGATGTGCTTGTGTATATCCACCTACATAATGTATGCCCTTCCCACCATACTTCTTATGTAGCGCAAATGCTTCTATATACAATATATGTTGAGATGATATCAATCTAACAAGTTCATGAAGAAACAGCTACATCATATAAATTGCTTCTAGCAATAGATTTCTCCATCACCTCCATCACACTAGTCACCTATTGCTACTGTATATTCTGTTCCAAGATGCGCAGCTACCCATTCTTATGGCATGCTGTGCAGCAGATGTTTCCTGTTTTGTGCTGATTGTTTGTAATTCTTTGCAACCCTCACAGGAATAATTGAATCCTGTCACAAGAGTCTGTAGATGCCAGTGATTTATGACAGCATATGAGAGCCTTTGGAGGTGAACTCTATTTTTTGCTCTAAAATAACGGTTTTAAGCCTACTTTGGTCACAAAACACTGTAAATACCAGTATTTTTGACCATTTTTAGAGCAAACAACACTCCCCCATGAGGCGCCGTTCTGAAAAATAAAGGGTAGTATAACCCCCGAACTAATCATCACCAACCATCATTTATTAACTATAATACTATATATCCAAATTTTTGATGCTTAAAACCAAACTATGAGACTCATGAGACTCATGAAGCCTGCCCAACAATTTTAAGTTGAACGATCCCGCTGCTGAAATCTCCCCCAGCCGCGATGACTCACTGGACCAGTGGCAGTAAGACCACCTCGGCGCCACTCCTTGTTGCACACCAAAGGTCGACCCGTGGGTTGCCTTAGATGAACGACCAACGGTTTCTGAATGCAGAAAGCATGAACAGTTGGGAGTTCACCAGCAAATCAACCAACAAACATGGGTGTAACATAGGGATATCGGAGTAGAATGGGATATTTTGCTGGACTGGCATTCATATTGGGATTTAACAAGAAATAGGGATTGAAGTAGGGATTTTAAAGGGAATTTAATTGAATCTAGAGTCTAGAGGAATCCTGGAAATGATGATAAATGGATCCTATCAGCTGAGTGAAATGCTTCGGTTTTTCATAACAGTCATGGATTTAACCATGGAAATGGGGCGTTATCCACCGAATTTCGGATTATCATGGAATTTTGCTGGGATCCAACTTCCTTTCTCCGTTCTTTGTGGACCCTGCAATTGGGACCCCTAATTTTGAAAAGCTGGGGACTCCAATTGTCCCCATCAATTACCAATTACTTGGATGATTTAGGGTCCCCTAATCTGATGAAACGACCCCAAATATGTGGCTGTTGGGAGCCGCTTCAGAAAGTGAAGCGAAAATCACTTCAATTTATGTCATATTGAATCATGAAATGGCACTCATTTAACCCGAAAACACATGCTTGGTCTACAAGGTGAGGCCCGCAGAAAAAATAAGTCGCTTTTTAAAACCCATGAATTAAGTATAGCTATATCATGTTGTATCCCCCTAATCAACCATAGTTCAGCATATTTGGTGGCTTCAACCCAGCCCTACACTTTGCACTGCCGAAACTAGCTGCGGGTTGGACAAATCGTAGATCTGTCGTCCGTTCTCCTCGTACCGCTTCCTCAAAATGCGAAACAACGAGGTGAGTTTTCCAACTGCCGCAAGAAGGTGACTATTAAACCATGAGATGTCGAGTTGCGCCACATTTTTTTAAGAAAATCGCCTTGTCTCCAGAATGATCCTCGAGCCATTTCTGTACTTGGTGGCTCATCCCACTTAGTAAGTGGGTTATAACCCCAGTTATAAGTGGATTAACCCTACTTATCCCATTTACATTTATAACTGGGGTTATAACCCACTTACTAAGTGGGATGAGCCACCAAGCACAGAGTTTATCTGGGGGTTAACATTATCTGGTTGGTGGTTGAGCCCTACCCGCTGAAAAATGATGGAGTTCGTCAGTTGGGATGATGAAATTCCCTATATATGGAAAGTCATAAAATTCCATGGTTCCAAACCACCAATCAGCTATATTTGTCCTCTTCTGTCACTTCTGCCCCAGATTTGCTAAGTTGCAAGGAACCACAGAGCATGTTTGCTCATACTCATAGCAAGAGTAGTTTACACAGTCTTAAGGGGACCCCCCAGTTAACCCACTTGGTGGCTCATCCCACTTAGTAAGTGGGTTATAACCCCAGTTATAAATGGGATAAGTAGGGTTAATCCACTTATAACTTGGGTTATAACCCACTTACTAAGTGGGATGAGCCACCAAGCACAGAGTTTATCTGGGGGTTAACATTATCTG